ACATGCAGGAGTCCTGGATTTAAGCCAAGGCATGACACAGTACCCTGAGCACTGCATAAATAGCTCCTGAGCATTACCAGGTATACCAAACCCAAAATAAAACAAACAAATAAAGCAAAACAAGGGATAATAATAGTGCATGCCTTATCAGGTTTTTAAGAAGTTTAAACAGGTTAAACCACATTTTTTTTGATGTATATTTTATAGTCAATGCACACTTCAATTTGGTATTGCCACATTTCCTGTGTTCACCAGTCATATGGGGGAACCATACTGAACCACATTGGAAAATAAATTAGTAGATATTTAATAAATATCTGGAATGTTGATTTAAGAATAAAAAGACTTTCAAACTCCCAGAGAATTCCTCATAACAGCTCAATACCTGGTTTAGTATGTAGTTAATATTATTGAATGAATTTCTACAGAATGTGCAAAGTCCGTACATCAAAATCCAAATATATATCTTCTCACAAATTTCCTTTCACTATCAAAGATATCATCATTCTGAAGTAGATTTATAAACTCAGATCTTTATCTCCTGACGTCACTTGATCCAATTTTGATACCAAGTCATATTAATTTTACCTTGGCAATTTCCCTTACTTTTCCTCTTGTTTTTTTCCTCTCCTCTGCCAAAGCACATACCTAGGACAAAAATTCTCAAACTTTTTGGTTTCAAGGCCCCCCAAAATCTTAAAAATTAGAAGAGAGCTTCTGCTTATTTAGGCCAGAACTTCTTAATGTTTTTTCTGATCATGGCCCCGTTGAGAGCTTGTTTTCTTCCTGTTCCCTCCCCCATCGAACCCTAGACTCATGCCATGTATCCTGATTAATGTAATTTTCACCTGTGCCCCCCTTTTAATATCCTGGGCCCCAAGGTGGGGTGGAAGATTATGGTGGTTGAGAAACAGTGGTCTACAATATTATCTATCGATAGTCACTGTAATGAGGAATTAAAATGGAGAACTTTAAAAATACTTCTAATTCATTAGAAAATAATAAATCCATGGCAAGTTGGGATATGTGTTATAGGTGGCCAAGGATATAGCTCAGCAGTAGAGCACTTGCTTTTCATGTTTAAAACTAACTCTGGGTTTGATCCCTGGCAACACAAAAATGACATATTTCATTAGAATATAACTATATAGGGGCTGGAGCAATAGCACAGCGGGTAGGGCGTTTGCCTTGCACGCGGCCAACCCGGGTTCGATTCCCAGCATCCCATATGGCCCCCTGAGCACCACCAGGGGTAATTCCTAAGCACAGAGCCAGGAGTAACCCCTGTGCATTCCCGGGTGTGACCCAAAAAGCAAAGCAAAAGAAAAAAAAAAGAAAATAACTATATATCCTCAATTAAGAATGACTAGAGTGACACAGCCTTTTCTTTCTACAAATGTCTTAAATGTTTCCGGCTTAATAGGATAGAGAATTACTTATGCATTAAATTTGTTAGAGACATAGTCTTCACTGAAGTACACAAGAAAAATCTGGCCTCACAGATATGTGGTTGAAAAGAGGAATTTTTTAATAACTCTTTCAGGAAATGTTGTTATTAAAAAGAAACGAGAAGAAAAGAAAAGAACCACAATTTAGCTTTTGATACTATAGAAAAACTCGGTAAGCTGTGCTATCTTAGCTGCAATATGGAATCTGAAACCTTATTCATGAACTCTCTTTGTAATCTGCTCCATTAAAATTCATTAATACATCTTGTACTTTGAAAGAACCTTTTACCCATGCATGATTTTATAACATCATGCTTGGTCATCTGGAAAATATTGGTTTGCCTAATTATACACGTTTCCAAATACTGTTATTTTTCAACATATAATATCTAAAACTCATATCCATAAATACTATTACAAATCTCATCAGAAAATTATTTACATACTGGGAACTTGTCCAGGTCACAGTGGCAGATACAAATTTTTGAACTTGTACTTTTTTGCTTAACAGTTAAAAATTCATCACTGACAACAAACACAGCCAGTCTGAAATGACAGATCTGCTTTCCTCATTTTTGAGAAAACTGCCAATTACCCAAATGTGAATAACCACAGTTAATTGCAGCAGTTAATCTTTCCAGTAAAATTGATTTTCTATATTTAAAAAACGAAGGCAACTAGTTTAGCTCACAGCTGAACCACACAGTGCTTTTCCTCAGCTTTTCCTCGGATCAGCAACTGAACTTTAAATATGGAGCAGGGTTTTGTTTGTACTTTCCATTTCATCACACAAAATATTAAGGATTATCTCACAGTCCAAAATTTAATCAAGTTAACCAATTACATTTTATCACTTCCTCTGAAACACTTTTTGCTGCTGTTGGTCCACACCTGACAGTGCTCAGGGCTTACTCCTGGCTCAGCAATCAGGGATCACTCCTGGTGGGGCTTGAGGGACCATATGGGGTACTGGGGACTGAACCCAAGTCAACCACATGCAAGGCAAATGCCCTACCTACTGTCCTATCTCTCCGGCCCCTGAGACATTCTTACGTGAAACTCGTATTTTGGGGTTTTAACTGCTGCCGTGACAATGCAAGAGCCACTAGTACAATTTGGTGCCACTGACCTAAGCTGAATACAGGTGCCAGCAGTTTTTTCCACCATTGCTCTCCAACGTGCATATATCAATACAGTGCAGAGAGCAGATAATACCTTGATATTTCTATGAAAATTAATTTGAGGGGGCCGGGGTGATACTATAATGGGGGACATGTGCCTTATAAGCGGGTGATCCAGGTTCAATATCTGGCACCCCATATGGTCTCCAAAGCCTGACAGGACTGATCCCTAAGTGCAGAGCTGAGAGTAAGCCCAAGCACTGCCAGCTGTGGCTCAAACGCCCCCCACGCTGACACACACACACACCAAAAAGGAAAATTAATTTGCTTCCCCTCATCTACTAAAGCATCTCTGGAAGGTCCCTAGGGTCTAAAAAACATATCTGAGAACTGATAGTCTAGAACCTCATGTTACATACAGATTAGCACATCAGTTTAATGAGTCTTGCTGGCGCTAGCTTGCTTCTCTTCTAAATCTATCATCTGCAGGAATCAGATTTCCTACAGTGCTACTTAAAAATGCCTGCCCCAAATTTTCAGTGAATCTCCCCCACTGAATACGGGATCAACTCTTCAGCATCATATTTAAAAATCTCGACAATCCTTCCTCATCCAGATTTTATAGTTTTACCACCCACCACTACTCAAACAGTTCTAAATAAGGAAGTCTGTTCTACTCAAGGTCTACTTTAATATAATTTACGCATCTCATAACTTTTGTTCTATCGAACATCATTTTCTCCCATCAAATCTCAAATCCTATTCAATTTCAAGGCTTAGCTCAACAACCTCAGGCTTTATGATGCTTTTTCCAATCACTCTGTGATTAGAGTGATTACAGTGTTCTCTTCCTTCCTAGAAGTATCACAGTATGATTACACACCGCTTTTGATCATTCTTTTTCTCAGAATGCCAGCAATCAAACCTAGGGTCATACACATTCAAGGCAAATGCTCTACCACTGAGTTCCATCATTTTAATACCCCAGTCCAATTATTTTAATTGCTGACTTGTTATATAACTGTATGTGCTTTCCTTAAAGCCCCGACTGGATTATAAATCCCCGAAACACAGAGATGTTTTGCTAACCTTTAAATTTTTCAGAATATCTACCATGTACTATAAAAAGGATGCAATGAATAAAGTAAAAGTATCAATACAAGGGTTCCCCTTTTGTGCTCAGTGCTCCAATTTTGTGTCCCAGGGACCCCACCACAGATTCTCAGCCAACCAGGCCAGCACCTAAAGCAAGGCCAAGGATGCAGTATTACTCAGGCGCTGTAGTGCCAGGGATATCCAGGCCATATTGGTAGTGCTGGATGCCTGCAGGACCATATCCAGCAGTGCTCAGGGGTCTACAGGGATATAGCCAGTGATGTTCAGGGGACCATGTTGCACCAGAAATCAAATCCAGACTAGATGCATGCTAGGCATATGCCCTAACTGCTATACTCTCCCCTGTGCCCTAGAAGTATTAACTCTTAAAATAAAATTAAAACAGATGAATTCCTCTCCCAAAGGCAAAAGGAATTTGGTTACATGAATAATCTGGAAATGACTGATGGTTCATGTATATCTTCCAAATGGGTAATAGATTGATTTCTCAGGATTATTAATGCTTTTAATATGAGTAATTATTTTATTTAATCAAAGTCAGTTCACTGTCCTCTTCTGAAGAGCAATCCTCTCTTTAATAATTCTGATGAAACTTTTTTTGCTGTTAATTAAGAACATGTAGAGCAAGGTACCCAAAGGACCCTGCTGACGTGGCTTAAAACAGAAAATATGGGGCCCAAGGATATCTCAGTGGTAGAGTGCCTGCCCTAAAGATTTGATCTCCACATACCAAGTGTAATCTCTAGCACAACAACAAAGTGTATGATCTCTGGGCACCAGATGTGTATGAGTGCCACAACTGAAGTGTGCAACAACTGGTAAGTACTACGACAAAGTGTGCATCTCCTGGCAAGCACACCAATTAACGTATACAACCCCTATCAAGCACAACCAAGTGTGTGACACTCCCCTCATCAGCATCACAATAAACAGTGAAAGGTGGAAAATTAAGAAGGAATAAAAATTAACAAAACTTGAGAACATACTGAAGTATAATTTTTAAAACTTAAAGGAAAAAGAAGGCAATCATTGCTCTAGATAAGCAAAAACTCAAATTTTAAGGAAACTATATTTCATTTCCTTAAGAGATATAAAACCAAATGTGCTATTTGGTTTTTGCTATTAGTTTTTTGTCAACCTGAGAGACAGGTGCCAGGATATTATCTCATCTTTCTTACTTTTTTCTGTATTTGATATATATTTTAATAGAAATATGTACAGATATGTTATGTGGAACTTTAAAACACATTATTGCACATCATATACAAGAACATATCATTTGACCAATCCATAGTGATGTTCAATTTTTACTTACTAGTTTATCATCCTGCAATGAAGCAAAAAAGAAGCCATAGAGCAAGTTAATTTGCTCCTTGTGATCAATGAAGTCAAACATTGTAACCAACCAACGATAAAAAAGTACCTAACAAGAGAAAAAAAATCTTTAGAGAAATATAACTGGTGTAGGAGAGCTTAATCCTCCCTGCCCCTCACCACACACACACACACACACACACACACACACACACACACATACACAAACCACAAACTCTCTCTCTCTCTCTGTCTCTCTCTCTGTCTCTCTCTGTCTCTCTCAAGGCTGCTTTAGAAGACTCTAGCACAAAATAGCATAATAGATTTTATTTCTTGGTAAAAATACGTCTGTTCCACGGTCCTTGCATCAAGCTGTATTGTTCCAAAACTACAGGCTTTGCAAAAAAGGCCACTGCCATTATTTCCTAAGTGGCTCTTCTTTGCCAGCCCTTAAGTGGTTCTAAAGGACTCATCATCAAAATGTTTTAAAAGATTACCTTGGTGCTACCAGAACATTTCCCAACACAAAGCCAGGAGACAGCCTTAACCACAGAATCTTCTGATATTAGGGTTGCAGGAATCAAGCACTTAAATATCCGAGTATTTGTGGAAGTCCCTGAAACAAGATAAACACTAAAGTAAACTACATTTTAATATCTCAGTGGTCCCCTATTATTTACTCTTGGGCCTTAGATACCTCACCTTCTACTAAAAGTAAAAAGGAAAGCAATGAGCAGTAACACTATCATTATAAAATATAGTTCAACAACTAGGGATGTGGCACAGCGGCAGAGGACATACATGCCTTGCCTGTGTGAACCCCACAGCTTGATCCCACACTGCAAGAAAAAAAAGTCAGAAATGTACCTTTAATTTCAAATATAGACTACAAAGCAAGTTCATTGCTACAATAATTTTAATACAAGAGATAAAAATAATTTGGGAAGTAGCTGTGATACTTACACATAATGAACGTGCTATGAAAAATCCTAATACATATGCTTTGAAAGGGTAAATAATATGGTATATGAACTGTCCCTCCCCCCCAAAAAGACCGTTTGGGCTATAAATGTGTCTCAATAGTAAAGCACATGCCTTATATGCATAAATCTTTCACTGGACATTTCAGGAATTGTTTATTTTGTTATTAGTATTACTTTTTATTATTTTATGGGGAACTCCCCAGCAGTGCTCAAGAGCAAAATGGCCAAACATGACAATCCCAGGAGGGTGAGCATGTAAGGCCGTGAATCAAACTTGGGACCCTGAGAATACAAGACATGTGCTCCAACTCTTTGCGCTACCTCCCTGGCCCTGTTATTATTTTCAATGGCAGAACAGATTGTAATTTATTTATAGCTATTTACAGACAACTTGCATAGACTCCATAAGTAAGGATAAACATTTATATATTCCATTCCCCCACTCCAAAAAAGAGGGTGGAAGATGGAACAGTTCTTCCAGGAATTAGCTGGCAGTAATATTCTATACTAGTCTAATCTTTTTCTCATATTCCCATTCTCATGACACTCTTTCATCTGGTTGTAGAAGTGATGTCGCAAAGAACAGCTTTTACATATACCCTGTATCAACCCCTGCTTATTTATACTTCAAGAATTAAATATGTATCTCATTGATTTCCTTTTGCTGTATTTACACAGTATTTTATTGGCATTACAGTGTGATCTTAATCATTCACTTAGAAGTCACAAAGCAGAATTCTGAGAAACACCTTTGATACACGTATATTTAAGGACTATTTTACATGAGTTACAGAGTGGCAATGATATTCATTTACTATAATAACAGTTGTCAATGTCTCTTGAAAGTAGCATTTTTAAAAACATTTTATACATATCTTTAAATACTGTTTTATATGAATTATAGCACAGTGATCATATTCATTCACTGAAATAACACTATTCTCAACTTCTAAAAGAAACATTCTCAGAAACATCTTATTTACATGTATTTTGAGGATTTCTGTTTTCCTTATTCCTAAAACAAAAATTGTAGGGCTGGAGAGAGAGTACAGTGGCTCTTGCCTTGCATGTTGCCAAACCGGTTTCAATCCAAGGCACCCCGTATGGTCTGCCAGGCCCTGCCAAGAGTGATTCCTGAAGGATTACTCCATAACTTAGAGGCCAGCCGGGTATCCTAGAGGAAAGGGCAGTTCAGATAGAGAAGGGAGCACCAAATAAAGGATGTTTGGAGGATCCTCCCAGGAGGGGAGATGCATGTCGAAAGTAGACTATGGACTGAACATGTTTGCCACTCAATGCCTCTTTTGCAGACCACAACACCCAAAAGGAGAGAGAGAACACAGGGGATTGCCCTGCCACAGAGACAGGGGGGATGGGGGGATGGGGGTGGGAGGGATATTATCCATGGTGGTGGAAAATGGGCACTGGTGGAGGGATGGGTATCTGATCATTGTATAATTGAAACCAAAGCACAAAAAATTGTAAATCTACAACTGTAAAATAAAATAAAGGGGAAAAAAATAAAAAAATAAAAAAATTTAAAAAAAAAAAAGAGTGATTCCTGAGCGCAGAACCAGGAGTAAGCCCTGAGCACTACTGGTATGGCCCAAAAACCAAAAAAAATCCAAATTTTTAAATATCTAAAGATACATAAAATAATCATTTGATATATCTTAAAGTGATTACTTTCAAGCTAATTAACAAATTTTCACTTCACATAATTTTCATTTTTTCTTTGACATGCACCTAAAATCTAGCCTTTGGGCAATTTTCCAGTATTCAATACAATGTTATCAACTGGAGGCATCTAGCACCTCCAGGAGTAATTCCTGAGTGCAGAACCAGGAACAACCCATGAGCATCACTGGATATGGCTGAAAAATCAAAAAACAAAGAAAAAGACTATATAAAGAAAAAGGCAGGTTACTTGAAAAGAAGGGGTCGTAGGGATAGGATAGTGTAAGGCACTTGCCTTGCACACAGCTGATTCAGGTATAAGTCCCAGCACCCCATATGGTTCCCTGAGTCCACCAGGCATGATGCCTGAGAGCAGAGCTAGGAGTAAGTCACAGCACAGCTGGGTGTGACCCAAACTCCAAAAAATGGTAGCAATTAAAGAAACAGAAGATGCAATGAAAAAGAAACACATCTGGGGCTGGAGCAATAGCACAGCAGGTAGGGCATTTGCCTTGCACACGGCCAACCTGTGTTCAATTCCTAGCATCCCATACGGTCCCCCGAGCACCCCCAGGAGTAATTCCTGAGTGCATAGCCAGGAGTAACTCCTGAGCATCGCCAGGTGTGACCCAAAAAGCACAAAAAAAAGAAAAAAGAAACACATCCACTATTCATGGTTTAGAAGGATTAGCATTACTAAAAAGGACCACACTATGCAAAATACTATATAGATTCAATGCAATGCCCCCAGCACTGCTGGTGCAGCCCTGGAGGCCCCTAGCACTGCCACGGCAGCATGGCTATCCCCATCACCACAAGGTGAAAGCAGCACAGCATCCTTAGGCCCTTGTATTGACCCACTGACCTAGTTGGCTGAGAAACTCTGACAAGACTCCTGGATCTCCTGAGCACAAATTTGATGTCCCTCCCCACAAATTCCCATGACTTTCTATTTGGGAGGGGTGCACATCTAGCAGTGCTTAGGGGCTATTCCTGACTCTGTGCTCAGGAGTCACTCCTGGTGATGCTCAGAGGACCATAGGTGGTGCCAGTGATCGGAAAACAGGATTGGTGGCATGCAAGGCAAATGTCTTAACTCCTATATTATCTTCAGTATCCCCATAACATTTTGTTTTTATTTCTGGTTTTTGTTTTGGGCAATATCTGGCTATGTTTGGCGCTTATTCCTGGCTCTGCACTAAGGGATCACTCCTGGCAGGGCACGGGGGTCAACCATATGCAGTGCCATGAATCAAACCCAGGTTGGCTGAGTTGAAAGCAGCCACCTTAGCTACTGTACTATCTCTCCAACCCCCACCCATGACATTTTTAAAGGACATAAATGAACCAAATGCAGTTAAAATTTAAAACTCCACAAATAGCCAACACAATTCTGGGAAACATGAAGATGGGAGGCTTTTCGTAGCCCAACTTTGATTATACTACAAAGCTACTGAAAAAAAAGTGTGTGCTATAGGAATAAAGGAAGACGCAGATCAATGAATTAGAATTGAGGACCCAGAGACAGACCCTTAGGTATATGGATGATCAGCTAACCTTCGATAAAGGATCTAGAAGCATGAAAAGGAATAAGAAAAAAACTCTTCAAAATATGACATTTGAAAAACTGGTTAGTCACAGGCAAATAAATGAATTCAGATACCTGTCTCACACAATACACACAAATTACTTCAAAATGGATTACAGGGGCCCAGAGCGATAGTACAGAGTGTAGAGCATTTGCCTTGCACGTGGCTGACCCGGTTTCAATCCCCAGTACATATGGTCTCCCCAGCACTGCCAGGAGTAATTCCTGAGTGTAGATCCAGGAGTAACCACTGAGCATCACTGGGTATGACCCCAAAAAAGAAAAAAAATGGATTACGGGGGGACCAGAAAGATAGTATAGGAAGTAAGATGCTTGCCTTGCATGCATTTGACCCAGGTTCAATCCCTGGCACTCTATTCCCCCCTCCCCAAGATAGCCAATAGTGATTCCTCAGCTCAGAGCCAGGAGTAAGCCCTAAGCATAGCGAGATGTGGCATAAAAAAATGAGAGACAAGAAAAACGAAAAGTGGATTAAAGATCTTGATATTATTTGCCTTGCACGCAGCCGACCTGGGTTCAATTCCTCCGCCCCTCTTGGAGAGCCCGGCAAGATACTGAGAGTATTCCACCCGCACGGCAAAGTCTAGCAAGTTACTCATGACATATTAGATATGCTAAAGAAAACAATAACACATTTCACAATGGAAACGTTACTGGTGCCAGCTTGAGCAAATCGATGTACAACGGGAGGACAGTGCTACAGTGATATTATACCAGAATCTATAAACGATATAGAGGAAAATATAGGTATAACTCTATATGCTATGAACCATTAAAGGCATGCTCAATAACTCAGTGCCACTGGTTAAACAAACAGAAACAAAAATAAACAAACAGGATTGTACAAAATTAAGAAGTCTGCACTGCAAAATAAACAATGACTAGAATAAAAGGATTGGGGACTAGAGTGATAGTACAGAGGGTAGGGCACTTGTCTTTCACAAGGCTGTCCCAGGTTCGATCCCCAGCACCCCATATCTTCCCCCAAGTCCACAGGAGTGATCCCTGAGGACAGAGCCAGGAGTGAGCCCTAAACACCAATGGTATTGCCGCCCCCCCAAAAAATACTGAGCCTAGAGAGAGAATACAGAGTAGGGTACCTGCCTTGCACACAACAAACCTGGGTTCCAGCATTCATATCACGCATCCCATGTGGTCCCCGAGAACCACCAGGAGCAATTCCTGGGATCACAGCCAGGAGTCAGCCCTGAACACTGGAGCAGGGATATGGTTCCACTAAAACAAACAACAACAACAAAAAGAAAAGGATCCTATGGACTGGGAGAAAATATTCATTGACCAAACATCTGACAAAGGGCTAACCTCCAAGATATACAAGCACTTGTC